AGACGGAGATGAGTCTATGGAGGATTTTGTCAGCAGAGTGACATGGGGTGACTTACTTTCAAACAAAATCACTCTGGCAGCAGAATTGGGAAAAGACCAAAAGGGAGCAGAGAATAGGAGCAGGGAAGCCAGGCACTGGTGGCTCACACTTGTAATCCTCACTACTCAGGAGGCTGAGAGTTGAGGATTGCAGTTCAAAGCCAGCCAGGACAAGACAAAACTGTGAGACTCTGCAAGCCAGAAGTAAAGCTGTGGCTCAAGTGTAGAGTACTAACCTTGAGTAAAAGAGCTCAGAGATAGCACCTAGATCCCAAGTTCAAGCCTGGGTACCCGCACAAAAGTAAATAGGATCGGGCTGGGAAGGTGGCTCAGTGGTAGAGTGCTTGCCTTGCATGCGTGAGGCCCTGGGTTTGATTTCTCAGTACCACATAAGCAGGAAAAAAAAAAAAAAGCCAGAAGTGGTGCTGTGGCTCAAGTGGTAGAATGCTATCCTTGAGCTGAAGAGCTGAGGGACAGCGCCTAGGCCCAGAGTTCAGGCCCCACGACCGGACACAAATAAATAATTAAATAGGATCAGGGAATTTGTGAAGGATGATGGCTGCTGGGTCCAGGTGGTGGAAGAAGAGGTAGTGCCCAGTGATTGGACTTGGGATTTGTTTCGAAGATAAAGGATTTGCTGGGAGATTAGACATGGGACTTAAGGTAAGAAAAGAGTCTGAGATGACTCTCTAAGGCCTGAGAAATCAAAAAGATGGGGATGCAAACTGGGGGAGGAATGTGTTTGAGGGGAAAATCAGGAGCTCCATTTTTTGTTTTTTGTTTTTATTTGGTCAGACATGGGGCTTGAACTCTGGGCCTAGGCGCTGTCCCTCACCTCTTCAGCTCAAGGCTAGCACTCTACCACTTGAGCCACAGCGCCACTTCCAGTTTTCTGATAGTTTATTGGAGATAAGAGTCTCACGATTTTCCTGCCTGGGCTGGCTTTGAACCGGGATCCTCAGATCTCAGCCTCCTTAGTTGCTCACAGGTGTGAGCAACCAGTGGCTGGCAGGAGCTCGGTTTTGGATGTGTTAAGTTTGGGTATCTGTGAGACATCCAGGGGTGTCAAAGAGGGAGTTGCACCAGCAAAACTGGTCCTCCAGGGAGAGGTCTAGGCTGGAGAGACAAATTTGGTTGTCATCAACAGGGAATGGTATTTAAAACTGTGAGTCTGGATGAGGTCATCCTGGGAGAGTGTGGACAGAGACGAGGTGAGCTCCTGACAGCCCTGGGCACACAGCAGCATGGAGAGGAAGTCAGGGAGGGGCCCGCAGAGAACACTGAAGTCATAGCAAAGCAGAAAGGAAATGTGGATGGAGAGGGTGTCCTCTCCAAAGCTGGGTGAGGCCAAAGGGTTAGCTGTGTCAAATGCACTGACAAGTCAAGGGAGACAAGGATGGAGAGTAGCTACTGGAGTTAGTAGCAGGAGCTCACTGGTGACCTTGAGAAGAGCAGGGTCATAGAGCAATGAGTGGGATGAAGGCCTGGCCCAGTGAACTTTTTGGTAGACATAGACTGAAGTAGATTCTTTGGGATAGGTGCTGTTTGGAAACACACCATTCCTCAACTCAAGTGAGGAAACTGAGGCTGAGACAAGTTCAAGGGCTTGCCCAAGGTCCCATATAGAGCCAGAATCCCCACTCCAGCTTGTCTTGACTACATCCCCTTGCTCTTCCCAGCCTCCCTTCTTGTGGCTGGTCAGGGCCTCTTGGCAACTTCCTGTCTTGCCTGGTAGGTGTAGACAATACCCTCCCACCAGTTTTCCTTGCAACACCTGCGGCACACACATGCAGGTGCTTGGAGAAAGGCCTTGCCCTCAGCCTTTAAGCCTGGGCACACCTAGGCTTTGACCCAGACAATCCTGATTCTACCATGTACTGGTTTTATAACCCTGGGAAAATCACCTTGTGAGGTAAGACATGGTAACCCCATCTGTATGACATGACCAGTCTCTTCCTCTCAGATGTGGGGAACTGCAGGATACATCCCCTTTAGTGCATACCAAGCCTTCACTACACATTTGCCAGTAGTTTGCTTGCCCAGTGTAGTTACTTAAGGAATTTGCAGCTGGCTGGGAAATAGCTTGGCAGTAGCCAGGCAGCCTTCTCTAGATGGTATGGGGAGAGCTGGGTGGCCTGTCATAGAGCCAGGGACTGGCAAAGATAAGGGGTCACTTGGTCCTCAGATGAGGCTTTCTGGAGAAGGAATGAGGGAAAATAGTGTGAACCTCAGGAGTTGTTGCCTAAAACTTCACGCTTCTTATTGTCTCACACAGATGCGGGAGGATGCATGGGAAAGGCACGGGTTCTGCTGATGGCTCTGGGTACAAGTCTAGGCCCCTTCACCTACCAGCTGAGTAACCTCAGTGTACTCTACCTATCTCCTTTGTGCCGTGCTTCTGTCTGGAAGAGATGAGTAGAGCATAGCAGGGAGGGTTAATACTAGTGTGTGTAAAACACTTTGCTATATCCTAAGAGGACCAGAATTCCAGGAACAGAGGACATACCATGGCAGAGACCCCCAGCAAGAGCAAAAACTATCTCAGGGCTGGGAAGGTGGCTCAGAGGTAGAGAGCTTGCCTTGCATGCCTGAGACCCTGGGTTCGATTCCTCATCACCACATAAGCAAAAAAGAAAAAAGCCGGAAGTGGCACTGTGGCTCAAGTGGTAGAGTTCTAGCCTTGAGCTGAAGAGCTGAGGGACAGCGCCCAGGCTCAGAGTTCAGGCCCCATGACAGACCCCCCCCCCCAAAAAAAGAGCAAAAACTATCTCATGAAAACTCTCTGCTTCCTAAACCAGGTCAGAATCAGTGTCTCAGCCAGGTGCTAGTGGATCATGCCTATAATCCTAGCTACTCAGGAAACTGAGATCTGAGGATTATGGTTCAAAGCCAGCCCCAGCAGGAAAGTCCATGAGACTCTTATCTCCAACTACCAAAAAGCCAGAAGCAGAGCTTCAAGTGGTACAGTGCTAGCCTTGAGAGAAAACTCCAAGGAAGGAGGAAGAGATGGAGGAGGTGAAGAGGTCAAAATCTGGCATTCAACTGGCTGAAGCTGTGTATTTACTATTAATACTATGATATCTTTTTTTTTTTTGTCAGTCATGGGACTTGAACTCAGGGCCTGGGCACTGTCTCTGAGCCTCTTTGTGCTCAAGACTAGTGCTCCACCTGAGCCAATGCCACTTCTGTGTTTTCAGTGGTTAATTAGAGATAAGAGTCTCACAGGGACTTTTCTGCCTGGGCTGGCTTTGAACTGAGATCCTTAGATCTCAGACTCCTAAGTAGCTAGGATTACAAGTGTGAACCACTGGCACAGCTATGATATCTTTCATACTGTTCCCTGGAATATTCATGCCTTACAAGAAGAAATGAGGGCTAGGGGTGTATCTTAGTGGTAGAGTGCTTGCTTAGTTAGCATGCATGAAGTCTGGGTTCGATTCCTTAGTACCACATAAACAAAAAAAGCTGGAAGTAGCACTGTGGCTCAAGTGGTAGAGTGCTAGCCTTGAGCAAAAGAAGCTCAGGGACAGAGCCCAGGCCCTTAGTCCAAGCTCCAGGACTGGTCATTTAAAAAAAGGGGGGGGGGCTGGGAAGGTGGCTCAGTGATAGAGTGCTTGCCTTGCATGCATGAGGCCCTGGGTTTGATTCCTCAGCACCACAGAAAAAGCCAGAAGTGGGGCTGTGGCTCACATGGTAGAAAAGAAAAGAAACAGGTAACATTGATTGAGAAGTAATGTACTCATTGCCTTACTTACTCATGTAACTGTAACCGCTCTGCACAGCATCTTTACAATAAAACTTTTTTAAAAAAGAAGAAAAAATGAGAGTGTGGCTGAGAGTGGCTAGGGGGGTACAAAGTAGACATATAGCTGATTGTGTACCCCTCCTTGTTGGGATTTCAGCAATATGGACATTCTCTGTGTGTGTGTGTGTGTGTGCGTGTGCGTGTGTGCGTTGTTGCTGCCTGGGCTTGAACTGTGGTACCTAGGCATGTTCCTTACCTTTTCACTCAAAGCTCTCCACCACTTGAGCCACAGCTCTACTTGTGGCTTTTTGGTGATTAATTGGAGATGAGAGTCTCACAGACTTTCCTGCCCAGGATGGCTTTGAGCTGAGATCCTCAGATCTCAGCCTCCTAAATAGCATTATAGGCATGAGCCACTGGAGCCTGCTTCTGTGTTTCTTCTTGGTCAACACCATGGCTCCAGCACCGGCACCCTCTCTGAACCAGGTCTTGGTCAGGCACTAGGACCCGAGTGGAAGGAGGCAGACCTAGGAACTAACCATTACCATTTGGGGTTACAAACTTTTTCTGATTTTTCCCTCTCCCTTCCACCCCTTGTGCACACACATGCTTGTCTGCTGAAACCCTCTTCTTTTCACTGGAGCTGCAGCTCCTTCTTCAGATAGCAGTTTTTCTGGATCTTCTTTAGGAAGCCTCCACATACAGATTAACCACCTCTGTCATGCTGTCCAGACCTGGTACTTCCTCTCTGCTGCTGTTTGCCTGCCCTGCTCCAGGGTGAGCCCCTTGGAGGCAGGGGTCCTCACTGTCTTCATACCTTTGTATCGTTAATACCTAGAATATAGTGGGCCTGGCACATGGAAGGAACATACATGAATTGATAGGTATGTTGGACAAAGGCTATAGAAGGCTGCATATTGTTTTCTGGGGTTTTTTTTTTGGGGGTGTCCGGTCATGGGGCCTGAACTCTGGGCCTGGGCGCTGTCCCTCAGCTCTTCAGCTCAAGGCTAGCGCTCTACCACTTGAGCCACAGTGCCACTTCCGGCTTTTTTCTTTTTTGCTTATGTGGTGCTGAGGAATCAAACCCAGGGCCTCATGCATGTAAGGCAAGCGCTCTACCACTGAGCCACCTTCCCAGCCCAGAAGGCTGCATATTGAACTGATGGCACAGGCATACAGTCTGACCTTCTCTCCTCTCTCGTGTTGTTTTTTTCAGCTGTGGTATCCAGGATCCCCCCAGAGCCAAGACCTTCTCCAGAAGGTGACCCTTCTCCACCTCCACCACCACCACCGACATCAACCCTGGTCCCTGACACTCCCCCAGATACCCCTCCTGCAATGAAGAATGCCACTAGCCCTAAACCAGAGAGCCCTACAGAGCAGGTTGAGCCCAGACCAGCCCTGCTGCAGGAAGAATCCCCTTCCTCAGACTCAAAGAGCAGAGGACCCACCCCACCAGCCTCAGGCCCAAGGGATGCCAGGCCTCCTCGAAGGAGCAGCCAGCCCTCGCCAACATCAGTGCCAGCCTCTGACAGCCCTAAACAAGGTATGTGTAATGTCATTTGCTTTGGGTCCTGGGTGGTGCCATGCAAGGAAATCCCTTTTGCTTTGGAGGACATGGGGACGGCAGGAGTGAGGCTGGAGGAAGGCCCAAGGCTGGCTGCTCCTTAGGGAGACCTTTAGACTTGTCTGTTCTTGTTCCCTTTGCTAAGATGTCAAGAAGGCAGGAGAGAGACACAAGCTGGCAAAGGAGCGGCGAGAAGAACGGGCCAAGTACCTGGGTGAGTGTTTGGGAAGCAGCAGCAGCAACTGCATAACTGACAATGCTCGAAGGCTGCATGTGTAAGACTAGTACCTGCATTATCTCATTAAAACCTCTCACCTATGGGAAGAAGGAACAGGATCAGAGAAATGAAATCTCTTGCCTAAATTGCACAGCTAGTGGAAAGGCAGAGATTCAGACCCTGATGTATCTTTTCACCCCAAATTCATGCTCTTAACCCCAGCATGTGGAAATCTGTCCAGTAGGCCCCCAAGTAGTGTGGGGTCTCACACTGAAGAATTCATTTGTCCTTCAGTCCTCAGAGATGTGAGTTGAGATCAAAGGAGGAGAAGCAGACCTCACCCCAGAGCTGCCTCCCATAGGTCCTTAAGTATGAAGGGGTGCCTGGGAATGGAGGCTCCACCTAGGCAGAGAGCAGAGACCATCCAAGTCTGTCACAGGACTCCTCACACGCCACGGGGCTCCTTTTCTTGCAGCGGCCAAGAAGGCAGTGTGGCTAGAAAAGGAGGAAAAAGCCAAGGTGCTACGAGAGAAACAGCTCCAGGAGCGCCGGCGGCGGCTGGAGGAACAACGGCTGAAAGCTGAACAACGCCGGGCAGCCCTGGAAGAGAGGCAGAGGCAGAAGCTGGAGAAAAACAAGGTATATTTCCGCTAATCCTACCTGGGTTCTCAAAAATCTGGAGGTGTGAGGCTGCACATGCCCATGTGGGTATGCTGGTCAAGTACATATACATACACACTGGCATTTGTGCCTCCTGTAGCCATGTCTGCACAGTCCTGTCGGTGAACCGTCACATCTGGGTTTCAGTGTCTGGGCCTCTGCACTGCAGATGATCCGTGTGTCTGCTAATGTATATGTAGGTAGATCCATGTCTTTGTGACTGTGCCTACATGGGTCGAACCCTGGTGTGAGGGCTGGTGAGGTAGTGAAGGAAAAATGGTGTATAGACCAGCCCCGGGGTGCTTGGGTAAAAAGGAAAACACAGCCCCAAGGTCAGGACCTTGGTGCCAGGAAGACCTGGGCTTGTCCAGAAGCGCCAGACAGGGAAAGTCCCACCCCATGCTCAGAGAAGCAACTCATAGACCCAGGAAATGACTCAAACACACTGAAAAGCTCTCCGAATAACAATGGAAAGGGATCTATCCCACATGGGCCTTAATCATAGCAGGGTCTTTGTAACCTTGGTTACCTGCAATGAGTCAGGGAAAGCTTGGAAGTGGGCTCTGGAAGGCAGAGGTCCTATCATGGGAGGAGAAAGGTCTCTCTCCCAGGGATGATGGATGATTCTGAATCCAGACCCCTGTCCTCTCTTCACCTGCCCCCAGGAGCGCTATGAAGCAGCCATCCAGCGGTCAGTGAAGAAGACATGGGCTGAAATCCGGCAGCAGCGCTGGTCCTGGGCAGGGGCCCTGCACCACAGCTCCCCAGGACGTAAGACCAGTGAGTGGGCTGGAAGGCTTGCTGGCTGGGTGGGAAAGGCTGGGGTCTGGTAATGGGAGGGAAGGGAATAACTTACTTACGTAGAAGGAGCTGGCCGCTCCCTGCAGCTGGTGTGTCTTGCTTCATGTGACTTGTGTCTTCTGGAATGGTCTGTAAACCAAATTGCCCTTCTCAAGGACTCCACTCTCAAATCAGAGATGGATTCTCTCCACTTGGTTTGTTCCTCAAACCTCTGTCATTTTAGGAGTAGCCTTCTTTGCTCCTGTCAATTACTGTTAGTTGATGATACATAAAAGAGGAATTTAATGCCCTGCAGACACTGGATATTTAAAGAAAACTGTCACCCCTGTCTTGGAAGGTAGATTTTCGTCTCTGAGTTTTCTTCATGTAGGCACATCACGGACTTTGGTCTAATTCTTTGCTGGCATGTATGTACCACTGTGCTTGGATGTCTTTGTGCAATGGCGAGGTTCCCTATGTCTAGCTGTATATCTTCCAGTGTAAGTGCTCATGGATCTGTGTTGTGTAGCTTAATATGTTTGTGATGGTGTGTTTGTGGCCTTGTGTACCTCAGTGAGGGCTTCTAAAATCAGACAGACTTGGATTCCAGCTCTGGCACTGGTGGTATGACCTTTATCTTCTCAGGGGATAATAACACTGCCTGCCTCCGAGGTTGTAGGTAGATGTTTGGAGGATCAATTGAGGTAACATGTATAGTGCCCAGCACAGTGCCAGGCCCATGGTAAGCATCAACAAATGTCAGCTGTTGTAAATTTCATGGTTAGGTTGCTGCGATGTATCTGTGCCTTGTGTGCATCTGAGTCTGATACATTCATTACCTGTTGTGTATCTGTGCATGTCTGCACACACATGTGCATGCATAAGTATCTATCACTCTATTTGCCTGTGTCTGCATGTCTTTGTCTTTACGTCTGGATGAATATGTGGATTTGTGCAAGTGACTGTGACTCTGTGAGTTCTTCTGTTTAGGAACTTCTGCATTGTCCCAGTATGTGGGTGTTGTATCCATAGCGCCTTGGCTGGGCAGTGTCAGCAAGTGCCAATGCTGGGTGGTTGTGGGAGGGGTTGCAGCACCCAGCCCTAGGGAATGGCTTCCTTTGGTCTGGCCAGAAAGGCTGTAGTTGTTCTAGTTTTATGCCATCTCCTCCCTCTGCTCCTCCATCAGCTCCCCCAATTCAGGTTGTCTCTGATCACCTACCCTCCCCCTCCCCCTTTCACTGCCAAGTACACCTCCTCCCCCATCCTAGCCTGCCCAATCCTCCCTCTCCCATCCTGCCCTCGGAGCATCCTGCATGGAAGGCCTCAGTGCCCCCCCTGGCTCCCGTCTGGCCCGGCCCTAATGCCGTGTCTTTTCCCCTCCAGGTGGGAACAGGTGCTCCGTGTCGGCAGTAAACCTGCCCAAACACGTGGACTCTATAATCAACAAGCGGCTCTCAAAGTCCTCTGCCACACTCTGGAACTCCCCCAGTAGAAGTAAGAGAAGGCCCAGCCTTCCCCCTACAGAGCCCCTGTAGCCCCCAACAAGCCTCCTCCAGTGCTCAGCAATAATACAGTCCTTGCAGTCCTCCTATACTATAAGCCCCTTTCCCCACCCTACCCTACCCCTGCTCTGTGCCTTTCAGGGGAGCCAGTATTTGGGGCTCGTGCCCTGAGAATAGAGTTGTGCCCTACAGGACAGGAGAACACAAAAAAAAGGCCCAGAGGGCAGAAAGCCTGACAGCGCGTGCAAGAGCAAGTTGGGGGCAGTGACTGGGGGTGGGAATGGACAGGCAACCTTATCTCCAACCACAGCTAGCTGGCCTGCCAATGTTAGACAGGTGGCCTTGCCCCCTTCTGTCAGACTTGCCTGGGTGCTGAGGGCCGTATCCTGGCTCCACCCTGGAAGACCATGCTACCCTGTACTCTGGCTTTAGAGCCTCAGCCATAGCCTTGGCTTATTCCAGAACTGTGGTCAACCAGGGTGGCACAGCCCCTGCGTTCCCACCATGCCCGGGTGCTTACATATGAAGGAGCTGTGGTAGGAGTTATTTATAAATTTCTCTAGCTTTTATTTGGTTGCTGTGTTGCCTAGCAACCCAATCAGCTGCTACACCAACCCCACCTGACTGAGGCTTAAAAATAACCCAGCAGCTGAGGGGACAGAGCAGGGTGGCCTGGGGCAGCCAGTCCCCCTAGCCGCCTCTCCCTGGCACAGAACTCCTGAAGGCTGGGTCGAGGAAGCACAAGGCCCCTCACTGCCCCAAAGTCAGGGAACATGCTTTCCCCAAGCCAGCACTTTGAAAGTAGGAGAAGCAGGGCCCGACAGAGGGACCTGGGAGAGGGCCCCGGGCTCCACCAGTCCTGTATGGCCGCTTCCTGTGCCCTGGGTTTAGAGCGCTTTCTGCCCCGAGACTGGAGGTGTCCCTGAAGCCATGCAGGTCGTCGCCCTGGGAAGTGTTTTGTTGCCTGGGTCTGCAGTGGAAGGCCAGATTTCAGGGAGGACAAGTTTGGCCCCGCGTGACTTGGGGGGGTGAGAATCCTTTGGCTGGGTGTGGAGACCGTCCCTGGTCTCCGCGTCCCCCTGCCTGCGGGTGACCGGCTTCCCGGTGTTCTCCTCAGATCGCAGCCTGCAGCTGAGCGCGTGGGAGAGCAGCATCGTGGACCGTCTGATGACGCCCACCCTCTCCTTCCTGGCTCGGAGTCGCAGTGCGGTCACCTTGCCCCGAAATGGCCGCGACCAGGGTAGGGGCGGCGGCCCTGGGAGACGCCCCATCAGGGGCCGGGCAGGGACCAGCCTCGGGCCTGGACCGCACCCCGACCGCACTCATCCCTCCGCAGCCGTGCCCGTGTGCCCGCGCTCGGCCTCCGCCAGCCCCCTGACACCCTG